AATGACGACCAGCTATATTTCCTTTCAGTTCTAAAATCTTCAGCTCCCGCTCCATCCGTCCCTCCCTCCCCCCTCACCCCCCTCCTCCCCCTCACCCCACACACACATAGTTGGAGACTCTGGCTAGGCGGTACCGCAAGTCTGGAGGTGTGGCAAATGTTCGTGAGGCTGAAAGGGTGCGGGCTTCGGAGAAGCTTCAGGACCACATTCTGAGCCAGCGGCTGGCGCTGGTGGAGGCAGTCTCGTCTGTCTCGGGCTCGGGGGTCTCTCTGCTGGACTCTGTTCCACTGACAGAGGTGACTCTGGTGCTAGTTGATGATGTGGCCACAGAGCGGTGCTCGCCGGTGATCACCACTGCGCTCCGAGCAGTCCCGTCTCATGCACGTGTCTTGACAGTGCCTGCTGCCATCACCGTGGCAGGCCTCAAGGCCCAGATCTTTGGCGTGCTTGGCAAGTTTGTCAAGCGGGCCAATGTCAACGTCGACCGCGCCACCCTCGGCTCGCGGCTGTCGTCGACCCACGAGTTTATTCTCTCGATCGGCGGCAAGACCGTAGAAGCACACAACGAGGATGCCCAGCTGCAGGCGCTGCCTGCTGTGCTCAAGGGCGTCGAGTCGGACGACGGCTGCATCGAAGTCCGCCTCGTCAACGAGGCCCAGTACGATCTCGACGTCCGTGCCCAGCTCATCCACGCCCGCATCGGTATGCTCTCCGGCCGTGTCGGTGCCATGTCGGACGAGGCTGAGAGCGACCCGGAGATCCGCGCCTTCCGCCGCCAGGTCATCCCGCTCATCAAAGAGGAGATGCGCAACCGGAAAGGCGGTGTATACGCGCTCGCGCCCGACATCTGCTCGCTCCCGCTCCCGGCGTCGACCGCCGAGCGGCTGCGTGGCGAGCCGGCCTACGTCCGCTTCCACTACATGAACACGTGGGAGTCCAAGACAATGGCCTGGGACCTGCTCGACGTCCCGGCCTCGGTCCTTGACTCTCTCTTTACCAACCACCGCAAGGTGCTCCGCGGCGTGCCAGACGACGCTTCGCCGCGTGACTACGTGCTCAAGTGCTACGGCTCGGCCGACTTTTACGTCGGCGACACGCCGCTCGCCGACTTTAACTCGGTCCGCCGCGCCCTCCTCCGCCACGACCACATCCACATCTCGATCATGTCGCGCAACGACGCCCTCGCCATGGCCACTGCCGAGGTCGACGAGGAGGACCTGCTCTCAGCGCTGCCGTCTGCCGACCCGGAGGAGTTTGTCCACACCGCGCTCTCGATCCACCCGCTCGGTGCCGAGGAGGTCAAGGCCATGGTCGCTCCGTCGATCGCCTCCACCACCCTCTCCATGTGGGACATGATCGAGGTCCCCTACCGTGTCCGCATTCGCGCCGCTCAGGACCTCAAGTTTGAGTCGACCAAGCCCAAGTCGAAAAAGGCCAAGAAGCGCGAGAAGCAGACCAAAAAGGTGCTGAAGCTCTCGGATCTTGTTGTTTACGTCGAGGCCGCCCTCTACCACGGCTCAGTCCGTCTCGCCGACGTTCAGCGGACCGCCGGCGTACTTATGGCCGACTCGCCGCGCTGGGACGAAGAGCTCAAGTTTGACATTGACGTTGCCGACCTCCCGCGCGCCGCCCGGCTTTGCGTCACCATCTTTCTCGCCTCGGAGGCCGCCCTGCTCGATGCAGTCCGCGGGCAGGCCGTCGAGGACGCACTCCCACTGGGCGCCATCAACGTGCCGGTCGTTGACTACGCTGGGACGCTCAAGACCGCCGGCGCCACCCTCGCGCTGTGGCCGTTTGAAAAGGCCAATCCCATTGCGACGGCACAGCAGAACCCGGCCCGCAACACAGCGCCACTGCTCCAACTGCAATTCCCGGCCTTTGCCGGTAGGGTCGTCTTCCCCACCCAGCTCGGTCTCCCGGTCGCCACCCCGCCGACGCCGGACCCGGATGCCGACGAAATGGCTACCGTCGCCTCGCTCGTTTCCAAGGACTCGGTCTACCGCCTCTCTTCGGCAGAAAAGGACGTCATGTGGCGGCACCGATACCACATTCTCAGCGCCCACCCGGCCGGCCTCGCCAAACTCATCCTCTCGACCCCATACCATCAGCGGATGGCGGTCCTGGAGCTCTACCAGATCCTCCGCCAGTGGCCGCCGTACGCCTCGCCGCTGGACGCGCTCGAGCTCCTCGACGCACAGATCATGGACACTGTTGTCCGCGATTTTGCCGTCAATGCTCTGCTCTCGGTCTCGGACGACGAGCTCTCTGACTTTATGATCCAGCTCGTGCAGGCGCTCAAGAACGAGAACTACCACGACACGCCGCTCGCCCGATTCCTCATTCGACGGTCGCTCCGCTCGCGCCGGCTCGGGCATGTCTTCTTCTGGTGCCTCAAGGCCGAGATGCACATTCCTGAGGTCCAGACAAGGTTCTCACTCTATCTCGAGGCCTACTGCCGCGGATGCGGCCAGCACCGCGACGAGCTCCTCCGCCAGGTCCGCCTCACCCAATCGCTCGTCGAGTCGGCGGTGTACATCAAGCAGGTGCCGACCGCAACGCCCGAGGTTCTCCAGGCCCACCTCGAGGCCAACGTCAAGTTCCCGGCAAAAGTTCAGCTCGTCCAGAACCCGTCGATCGAGGTCAACGGCCTCGTGCTCAACAAGTGCAAGTTCATGCAGTCCAAGAAGATGCCGCTCTGGCTCGTCTTTGCCAACGCCGACGGCCAGGGCGCGCCGTGCTACTCGATCTTCAAAGAAGGCGACGACCTGCGCCAGGACATGCTCACCCTGCAGATGATCCGCATCATGGACAAGATGTGGCAGCAGGAGGACATGGACCTCCGTCTCAAGCCGTACGTCGCCATCTCCACTGGCGACGAGGTCGGGTACATCGAGGTCGTCCTCAACGCCGCTACCCTCGCCGACATCCAGGTTGACAAGGGCGGTCTCGCAGGCGCATTCAAGTCGACGCCGCTTGCAGACTACCTCCGTGACCACAACCCGACCGACGCCCAGTACGCCGAGGCTGTCTCCAACTTTATCGTCTCGTGTGCCGGCTACTGCGTCGCCACATACGTCCTCGGCATCGGCGACCGGCACAACGACAACATCATGCTCGACCAGGCTGGCCATCTCTTCCACATTGACTTTGGCCACTTTCTGGGCAACATCAAGAAGAAGTTTGGCATCTCCCGCGAGCGCACCCCGTTTGTCCTCACCCCGGACATGGTCCACGTCATGGGCGGAAAGGACTCGGCCGGCTTTGCCGAGTTTGTCTCCATTTGCTGCCGCGCCTACAACGTCCTCCGCCGCCACTCCAACATGCTCATTAACCTCTTCGCCATGATGGTCTCCACCGGCATTCCTGAGCTGCAAACCCTCGAGGATCTCCGCTACCTCCAGCGCGTCCTCAAGCTTGGCGCCTCGGAGGAGGAAGCCGCAGACTACTTTCGCTCCCTCATCGACATCTGCCTCAAAAAGGGCTGGCAGACCACCATCGACTGGTCAATTCACGTCGCTGTCCATGCATCCGTCCTCAAAAAGTACATTTAGCTGCCTGCCCTCCCTTGCTTGCCTCTCTCGCTACCTTGCCGCTCGCCCACTTGCCACCCGCCCGCCCACCTGCCGTCCGCCCGGCCGACCACCCCACCCCACCCCCCACCCCCACCCCCACCCCCACCCACCCACCCACCACTCCCATCACATACACGCACACACACACTCGTACACATGTCCCTCACCCTTGCCCTCGCCCTCCTCCTCGCCCTCCTCGCCCACCCCACCACCTCCACTACCCTCCCGCTCCCCACCACCACCACCACCGCACCGCTTCCGCTGGCATCATCATCGACAACAACATCGATCCCCATCTACGCCCCGCTGGCATTCCCTTCCGCTCCGCGTCTCGCTCCGCTGCTACTCTCGCTCTCGCTCTGCCAGCTTCCGGCTCATGCTCCTGCTGCTGCTCTCGCCACGGCACTCGTCCTTCGCCGCGTCTCGGATCCGATCTCCTCCCCTCCGCTCCTCGACGTCGAGAGCGAGTCGGCTCCCTGGAAGGCGCGACGGGTGGCGGCGCGCCTAGTTATCTCTCCCGATCTTGTCCTGGCGGCTGCTGACAACTCGTCCGCTGATGGCTGGGTTGTGGATGTGCATGTGGTGCTCGATCGGCCTGCAGGGCTCGTCGCGCCCGGCGAGAACAGCGACGCTCTGGCCGCGCTGGCTGCCGACTGGATGCCAGCCCCGGAGAGCGCGTCCAGCATCGTCGATGTAGCGTACCTACCCGAGGCCACCGAGCTTGTAGTGGCTGTGGGCTTTGACGCACCTCCGGCAAACGACTCGGTAGTCGCCACCGCGATTGCGTTGCCGTCTACTGCTGTGCCGGACAGCGCGTGCGGGCTGAGGGCTGTGATGAGCGCGGGCGAGCTGGCGTGGCTGTCACCTGGTGCGACGCCGTTGGATGGCACGGGTGCCGTGGGTGTGCCGCTGCAGAGCGTGCCAGACGTGTGGCGGGATGTAAGCGGAGAGGCGGGCTACGTCCGGCTCGCATCGCGTGTCGTCAGAGTCAACGGGACGGCCGGCGGTGTGGCCGTCGGCATGCTCTGGGGCGGCGGTGAGGTCGGTGGTGGTGGCGCTGTCTGGCCAAGCGCGACGTTCACCGATGGTCCCGAGTGTGTGCCGCTGGCGGCTGTGCCTGCCGCGCTGACCAGCGCGCTCCCGGTGCTGGCCTTCTGCGACCGGTTCACGGCGGGATCGTACAACGGGACGGTCTCGTCGGGCCGCGGGTCGCGGACCGGGGCGCTCGGCGCGCTGGCGGCCGCTGCCGCCTACGACCGATTTGCCCGCACGCTGGAGCTCATCGACTGTCGGCAGCGGTACTCGATCTGGTCGTGCGACGACTGCCGCGACGCCTACGCCCGTTGGCTCTGTGGGCTCTCGCTCCCAGGCTGCACGCCTTCTGCCGGCCCGGCCCGCATCGCGCCGTGTCGTACCCTCTGCGACGACCTGGTCAAGCGATGCCCGGCGTACTTTGACTTTGGCTGTACCGACTACGACCCGCTCTACTGGGACGGCACTGATCCGTCGGGATCGGACACGCCGTGCGCATCGCTCAACCGGCGCTCGCTCCCTGGCGACAGCAAGTCGATGCAGCCGGCGCCATCGGCGGTGACCTCGTCATCACCGGCATCATCAACCACCCAAGTCGCACCCAGTCATACCACCGCCATCACGGCTACGTTGATCACCGTTGCGGCTATCTTTGTGGCATCCGGACTGTGAACCCAGCGACACCACCCGACGTTCCCTTGCGTGTGTCGTCAGCCGACCAAACCTGCCGAGCGAACACCAGCCAACCCCACACGCTCCACATACACCACACACACCACACACACCACACACCACTACCCTCTCCTATGGACGCCCCCGTGGACGTAGACGACACGGCATCCCCCGTGGTGGTCGTCAAAGACGTCTCCAAGCGTACGCGCACCACCACCCCACCCCCTTCCCCTTCCCTCCCCTCCCCCCTTCTCCTCGCCCCACTCACCCCCACACCCACACCCGCACCCACACCCGTAGGCTACACCCTCGAGGGCGGCGGCGAAGTTGTTGCGCTGGACGGGATCACACTGGATGACTCGTCCGAGTTTTTCGCTATCAAAAAGGGCGAGTTTGTTATGCTCCGCGGACCATCGGGCGGCGGCAAGACGACGCTGCTCAATCTCCTCGGCACGCTGGACAAGCCGACAGATGGTGTTGTTGAAGTCGTCGGGCATGCTGTGTCGGCAGAGTCGAGCGATGCAGAGCTGGCCAAGTTGCGCCTCGAGTCAATCGGCTTTGTCATGCAGAACTTCTCTCTCATCGCCACTATGACTGCCTTTGAGCAGACGGAGCTGCCTATGATTCTGCTCGGCAAGCTGAACAAGAAGGAGCGCCGCAAGCGAGCGATCGAGCTGCTGACGTATGTCGGCCTAGGTGACCGCCTCTCGCATCTGCCATCCGAGCTGTCCGGGGGTGAGCAGCAGCGTGTGGCCATTGCCCGCGCTCTTGCCAACCGGCCGGAGCTTTTGCTCCTCGACGAGCCGACTGGCGACCTCGACACCGCCAACACGGTGGCTATGATGGATCTTGTCCTCCGTGTCAACCGCGCCGGCGTTACCGTTGTCCAGGTCTCGCACAATGCCGACCTCGAGTGCTACGCCTCGCGCGTCGTCTACCTCCGCGGAGGCCGCTTTGTCGAGCAGGCACTGAACGCCGCCCAGACAAGCCTCTCCTCCACCGACTACATTGCCTTTCTTCAACGCGCCAAGGTGATGCTGACGATCTTGTGGATGCCTAGCGCACGCACGCTGTCCTTCCGCCTGAGCTGCCTGCAGGCCACCGCCTTCGCTGCTTCGTCCTGGCACGAAGCTCGAACCTTCGAGCCACAGCCCCGACCCCCACCTCAAAACCCAACCCCCAACCCCACTCCCATCCCTACGTGCCCTCTACCACCTCCATCATCATCATCATCATATTCTCACACTCTATATTGTACGCACGGTACGGATGCCCAACCCGATGTAATCGATGTGCTGATCATCAAACCCCTCCCCCTCCCCCCTTCCTCACTCACACTCTCAACCGACACCATCTCACTCATTCCCCGACGCCTCAAGTCAACCATCATGAGTGCCACCACCATTTCGCCAGCGGGACTGCTGCAGAAGTCCATCATCCAGCACAAGCTGGCTATCGAGAACCTCCGTTCTAACCGCGGTACGAACACCCTCACCCTCTTCCTCATACCCTCTTCTACTTGCTCATCCCCTTTTCCCACCTCCTCTTTCCCTTGCTACCTTCTCTATGCCCCATCCCCACCACCACCACCACCACCCCCCTCTCCCCGGTTTTTGGTCCTTCATCCATGTCCCCTTCCCCGCAGGGACATTCTCCCTCCCCCCCCCCCCCCCTACACTCATGCACATACCCTCCCTCTGCACAGCTCCGAAGGAAGAGATTGCGGCTGCACGTGAGGAACTCGGTAAGATGCAGGAGGAGCTGGAGAGCATGCTGCCGGAGGAGCGCGGAGGGGACAAGCTCAAGTCGGGCAAGCGCAAGGAGAAGAAGCTGAAGAAGCTGGACAAGAAGAAGGGCAAGCCCAAGGGCAAGGGCGGAAAGAAGAGCAAGTCAAAGGACAAGGGTGCGGACTTTACCTACACCGAGGTGACTCCGGTCGGCGAGAAGAAGCAGCTCGGCGAGTTCCTCGAGGCCTACCAGCCGCGGGCGGTCGAGTCGGCCTGGTACGAGTGGTGGGAGGCGTCGGGCTTCTTCTCGCAAAAGGCCGAGGATGTGGCCGAGGACCAGGAGACGTATGTCATTGTCATTCCGCCGCCGAACGTCACTGGCTCGCTCCATCTCGGGCACGCACTGACTAACGCGGTGCAGGACACGCTCGTCCGCTGGCAGCGGATGCAGGGCAAGGCTGCGCTGTGGGTGCCTGGCGTCGACCACGCTGGCATTGCCACCCAGGTTGTGGTCGAGAAGAAGATCATGCGTGAGGACGGCCTGACCCGGCACGACCTCGGGCGCGAGGCCTTTGTCGACAAGGTGTGGGAGTGGAAGGCCGAGTACGGCGCGCGGATCACCAACCAGCTCCGCAAGCTCGGCTCGTCGCTCGACTGGGAGCGCGAGGTCTTCACCATGGACGAGACCCGGGCCAAGGCCGTCACCGAAGCCTTTGTCCGCCTTCACAAGAAGGGCCTCATCTACCGCGACAACCGGCTCGTCAACTGGTCGTGCCAGCTCAAGACGGCCATTTCCGACATCGAGGTCGACTACATCGACCTCGACGGCATTGTCAAGCGCAAGGTGCCGAACCACGATGGCGAGTACCTGTTTGGCTGCATCATCTCGTTTGCGTACAAGATCTGCGACGCCGACGGCGTGCTTGATGCCGACGACGACGAGATCGTCGTTGCCACCACTCGTCTTGAGACCATGCTCGGCGATACGGCGGTGTGCATCCACCCGGCGGACCCGCGGTACTCGCACCTTCACGGCAAGTTTGTCAAGCACCCGTACCTCGAGCGGGTCATCCCGATCGTGCTCGACGACGAGCTCGTCGACATGTCGTTCGGTACCGGCGCCGTCAAGATCACGCCTGCGCACGACCCCAACGACTACGCGCTCGGCCTCAAGCACGAGCTCCCGCTCATCAACGTGCTCAACGAGGACGGAACCATGAACAACGAGTGCGGGCAGTACGCCGGCATGATGCGGTTCGATGTGCGGACGGCGATGCTCGCCGACCTCAAGGAGCGCGGCCTGTACCGCGGGCTGGAGGCGAACCCCGGCATGCGCCTTGGCCTCTGCTCGCGGTCGGGCGACGTGGTCGAGCCCATGCTCAAGCCGCAGTGGTACATGTCGTGCACCGAGCTCGCGCAGCGCGGCATCGACGCCGCAGCCTCGGGCGACCTCAACATTGTGCCCGAGTCGCAGCGCAAGAACTGGCAGCGTTGGCTGGAGGACATTCCCGAGTGGTGCATCTCGCGCCAGCTCTGGTGGGGCCACCGCATTCCGGCGTGGCGCATCTCGACGTCCGCCGCCGACGCGCCGGACTCGGGCCTCGCCGACAACGACGCTTGGGTTGTCGAGCGGACCGAGGCCGAGGCCCGGACCGCCGCCGCCGCTAAGCTCGGCGTCGCCGAGGACGACGTGGTCCTCGTCCAGGACGACGACGTCCTCGACACATGGTTCTCCTCGGGCCTCTTCCCGTTCTCCGTCTTTGGCTGGCCGGACGAGACGCCGGACCTCAAGACCTTTTTCCCCACCGCGCTCCTCGAGACCGGGCAGGACATTCTGTTCTTCTGGGTCGCGCGCATGGTCATGATGTCGTTTGCGCTCATGGACGAGCTCCCGTTCTCGGACGTCTTCCTCCACGCCATGGTCCGCGATGCCCACGGTCGCAAGATGTCCAAGTCGCTCGGCAACGTCATCGACCCGCTCGCCGTCATCTCGGGCATCTCGCTCGAGGAGCTCAAGAACACGGTGGCCAACTCGAACCTGCCTCAGTCGGAGGTTGCCATCGCCCAGGCCTCGCAGGAGGCCGACTTCCCCGACGGCATCCCCGAGTGCGGGACCGATGCCCTCCGCTTTGGCCTCTGCTCGTACACCGGCACCGGCGGCGATGTCAACCTTGACATCGATCGCGTCGTCGGCTACCGCAACTTCTGCAACAAGCTGTGGAACGCGACCCGCTACGCCGTCTTCCACTGCCTCGGCGACAACTTCCAGCCGTGGACCGCCACCGAGTTTGAGGCCTCGTCCGCCGAGTGGTCGCCGGCCGACCAGTGGATCCTCGCCTCGCTCAACGAGGCCACGGTCTCGGTCAACGCCAACCTCGCCAAGTACAACTTTATCCCGGTCACCTCGACGCTGTACGAGTTCTGGTGGGGCCGCCTCTGCGCCTACTACATCGAGCTCTGCAAGCCGGTCATCACCTCGCCCGAGACGCCCGACCGCGTCCGCGACGTCACCCGCCAGACCCTCTACACCGCCATGGAGGCCGGCTTCCGCCTCCTCCACCCCTTCATGCCGTTCATCACCGAGGAGCTCTGGCAGCGCCTCCCGCGCCGCCCCGAGCACGCCGATGCCGGCCTCGAGACCATCATGCTCGCCGAGTACCCGCAGGACAACCCGGCGTTTGCCTCGGACGCCATCCTCGCCGACTTTGCCTTTTTCCAGGCTGCGCTCACCGGCGCCCGCGCTCTCCGCGCCGAGTACGGCCTCTCGTCGGCCAAACAGAAGGCCCCGATTTACCTCTCCGCCGCCACCGACGACGCCCGCGCCTCGTGCGAGCGCTACGCCACCTACGTCGAGTGGCTCGCCTTTGCCGAGTCCGTCACCGTCGTCGCCGACGGCGAGGCCCCGCGCCAGTGCGCCGTCAACGTCTTTGCGCCCGGCGCCTCGGTCCACCTCGAGCTCAAGGCCGGCGTCGTCAACGTCGACCGCGAGCTTGCCAAGCTCGCCAAGAAGAAGACCGCCCTGGTCAAGGAGGTCACCAAGATCGAGAAGAAGATGGCGAACCCGGCAAAGTGGGACAAGGTGCCCGAGGCCGCCCAGGTCGTCATCGTCGAGAAGCTCGAGGCTGCCAAGGTCGAGCTTGTCGGCGTCGACGAGTCGATTGCCATGTTTGAGGCCATGAAGCCCGGCGACGCCGCCGCTTCGTCGTAAAACCCAGTCTCGCTCCGTTTGCCCCAAGCCACAGACTCGCCAGCATCAGCCGCCGTCGCCGCGCTCCCGCTCCCGCCGCCCGCCGCCCGCCCGCGCGCCATCGGTCGTCGGTTGGCGGCCAACCGACACGCCAAGGGCCGGAGAGAGCGAGAGCTGTGAGCGAGGACGGTACCTCACTCTCCCTCTGCACACCATGGACCCCAACGCGGTGTCGTTCTCGGGAGATGACGCAGCTCCGCGGTCGAAGCGGAGCCGGTCGTCGTCCAAGGGCCGCAGCTCGAGCAAGCGCAACGCGCGGAGCATGCCTGGCGGGAGCCGGTCGTCGCGGAGTCGCGGCGGGCGGGGCTCGGCTGGGGGCAGCTCGTCGCGCAACGTCCGTTCCACATCCTCGCGGAACGCCTCGCGGAACGCGTCACGGAACGCCTCCCGCTCTCGCTCTCGCTCAAGGGGTGGAGCCAGTGATGATGATGATGCCCGTGGGACCTCCTCCCGCAGACCGGCGTCCTCCTCCTCCCGCAAGGGTAGCAAGTCGCGGGCAGAGAAAATCGCCGAAGCTGAGGCCATTCTCCAGTCGCAGAAGACCACCGCCAACACCCTCAACGCACGCGCAAAGCTGGAGCGCCTCAAGGCCAAGAGCCATGGTGAGCGCAGGCGTACGTCATATCCTCTCCCCTCTCTCTCTCCCCCCCCCTCCCTCCCCTCCCTCCCCTCCCCCGCTCCCTCCCCTCCCCCGTGCACTTCCTCGTCCTGCCACCCTGCCCCCCCCCCCACTCCCTGCCTCCCGCCCACCGCAACAACAATCGATGAGTCATCGATTAATGTCAGTCGCACGCCCCCCCCCCCCCCCTTTCCTCCTTTCCCAGCCCCTCCCCCCCAACCAACGATTATTTGTCAATGTGATTAATGGTGGCCACCGTTTGGCGCCGATTTCATTGCCACTTTGTGAGCCTTTTCGCACTTTGGTTCAAAATTTGTAGCCTGGCTGGCTGGCTGGCTTGGCTGGCTGGCTGGCTTGGCTGGCTGGCTCTCTGCCCCACAATCTCCATCACTCACGGTTATTCCCTTGGCCCGCAGTCTCGCTTGAGACGCTCGACCAGCGGCTGACGCAGCTGGAACGTGGAACTGGAACGGGAGGCAGACAGGGCAAGTCGTTTGAGGACGAGGTGCTGCGGTGGCTGGACGCAGATGCGGTGACGCGGCTGCGGATGGTGCAGATGCGGCGGCACGACTACTCGCGCAAGTGGTACCGGCGGACGATTTCAGTGACAACCATGCTGCTCGCGTTCACGCACTTGCTCTTTGTCATCACGCAGCTTGTCATCGAGGCGCCGCTCTCGTACTTCCATGTCTTCAACTGGATTGCGGTTGTGCTCTACACCATGGGCGGGATCACGGCGTGGACGCACAAGACGTCGTGGCAGGCGCGGCCGCAGACGCAGCACTCGCTGACACAGTGGTTCTTTGTGGGCCTTGTGCTCTTTATCTTTGTCGCCATCTGTGCCTGGTTTGCCCACCTGTTTGACCTCGAGTCACAGGTCGCCGATTACTGCCGCGACCAGCCCGAGGGCGTGTGCCCCGCCGGGACATCCGAGGGCGGCCTCCGCACCTTTGCCGTCCTCATCCGCCTGGCCTGGATCTTCTACTTTATCTATGCCATCGGCGCCCTCGCGCGGTACACCTTCCTCTACCTCGCCACCATCGAGCGCCACTACTACCAGAACCCGGAGCTCCGCAAGGACCTCCGCATGTCGCTCTTTGTTGCCCTCATGGGCCGCAACCTCTGCCTCCTCTCCAAGACTCTCAACTTTCTCTGCTGCGAGTCGTGCTCGCCCAGGACCCTCAAGGCCAAGCACGACGATGAGGAGGGCTCGTCGTCCTACACCGCCGACCTCATGTTCGGCGATGACGATCCTGAGGAGGGCATCGCCGCTGTTCGTGTCGGCCGCCGCGACCGCGTCCTCGCCGCCCTCGAGTCGTCCTATGACGAGGAGGAGGAGGAGGCCACCCACGTGTACAACCGCGAGCTCGTCTCCAACCACGGCTCGCCCAACCTCTACCTCTGCACCTACTGCACCTGCTTCCTCTTTGCCTACATCGCCCTCGTCATGTGCTACACCGGCGACTCGGGCACCATGCTCTCCAACTTTGCCTGCATGATCCGCATGGGCACCTCGGCCTGGATGTAGACCCCCCCCTCCCCCGCCACCAACACCAAGCAAACACACACCACCCCCTTTCCCACTTCTTGTTGCAGAGAGGCCTTACTGTCGCTGCAGAGCATAGCCTTGCGCCTCGCGTCCTCCATCACAGCCGTCGGATTGCCACACAAGCGGACCGCCCGACCGACCGACCAGCTGACTACCACCACCACCACCACCGCCACCACCACCACCACCACCACCACCACCACCACCACCACCACCACCACCATCCTCGGCACCCCCTTACCCACCTCCTCGCCCTCCGCCGCTCCCGCTCCTCCCACTCCTCCCACTCCTCCCACCTGTCCCCCTCCCACCGGACACCGCCGGCATACACGTCACCGACTCCGCCACCGCAACCATCGTCCCTCGACCACCTCCTGTCGCCGGCTCCCTCTGCATCTGCCCCGCCATTGACCTCGCAGCCATCACCACCAGCTGATGGTACTGGCCACCACTACGCCGACAAGATCAGCTCGCTCCCGCACGAGCTCATGTCGCCGGCTCTGTCACAGACACACTTCCTGCCATCCGCCCGCCTGATCATCCGCCGCCGTCACCGCATCCGGTGCATCCGTTCTCATCGCCACAGCTGCTGCCAGTCGCCCCGCCCGTCATCCCGCACTCGCCATCGGCGCCGCACACCACTCCGCCACCGTATGTGCCTGGTCGGCCAAGGCCTCTTTCGGTCCAGGTGCCCGAGGTCGAGGACGACCAGCCGCTGCAGGATACTGCGCTGTCGGCGTCAGCACTGGTGACATCGCTTCCGTCGCGCGAGCCGCCGCTTGCTCCGAGCCCTGGGCGCCATCAACGCGCGCTGCAGATGGCGCTTGAGACTCTGGCGAGCGAGCGAAAGGCCAACGCGGCGCGAATGGAGCAGTTTGAGGCCAAGCTCGAGAGTGTGCGTGCCGCGCAGGCCTCTGCCGCACAGCGCTCGCAGACAGAAACGACCCGGATTCGCGCTGCTGTCGAGAAGCTGGTCTCGGAGCGCGACGAGGCGCGGGAACTGCTTGCCCGCGCACGGACAGAGGCCCAGACCCAAGAATCGCTGGTCTCGGCACTTCGCGCCAAGAGCGCCGTCATGGATGAGTTTGTCACCTCGGTCGACGCCGCTATCTCCGACGCCGAGGCCGAGCACAATCTCCAGCTCGCCAGCCTCCGTGACGCCCTCGCCGATCGGGACGCCTCCATCACCGAGCTGCAGAACAAGCTTGCAACCAAGCACGACGAGCTCGTTGCCGCCCTCCACCAAGTCGATGCTCTCCACGCTGCCCTCGCCGACAAAGACGCCGCCCTCGCCACACTCACCGCAGACGTCGAGGCCCGTCGTGCACAGCTGGCCGCTGCCCTCGACGCCCACGACGCGACCCAGGCTGCTGCCGACGATCTCGAAGCCGTCGTCACCGCTGCCCTTGCCGCCGCAGACGCAGAGCTGGCCTGAGTCTTGCGAAAACCCGCGCCGCGCTCCCCACCGTCTTGTGTTCATTGAATAGCGCACGTTCGCGACTTTTTCCCGCCTCTGCTCTCGCCGCTGCACCCGCTGTCGCTCACGCCTTGCTCTGCGTCCGCTGCGCCGTCCTCGCCGTTGCTGCTCCCGCTGTCGTCCCCGTCACTGCCCTGAACGGTGACCTCAACAGGCTCGGTATGGCTGGTGGGTGTCGCCGACGCTGGCTCACTCTTGCGGGCTCCCAGGACCTCGAGCTGATGGCGGAGCGAGGTGATGATACGCTTCTGGGAAGCGACCGAGGCCTGTGCCTCGCCAAGCCTGGTCTGCATGATGGCGTTCTCGCTCCGCAACTCGGCGACTTCGCTCTGCAACGCGCCCATGAGCTCGGTGTCGATGGATGCGTCGGTGGCGCCGAGGTCTACGCCGGCAAACACCGAGTCGACAACCTCGTTGCGCCCCCACAGCTCGAGGAGCATCGGCTCTTCGCGGTAGACGTCGTAGACTTCGTCGTCGAGAACGAGCACATACCGCTCGCGGAAACCAAACTTGGGCGCGTTGCCGGGACCGACCCCGCGTTCCGTCACGTTGAGTACGTCCTCCTCCGGGAAGAGCGAGGTAAAGCGGACAAACATGCCCGAGTTGGCCGGTGACTCGACCGAGTGTGCGCCCACAATGTCGAGGACAAAGATGATCTCAGTCCCGCGCGCGTGCGCAAACGACGGCACCTGCCGCATCGGCTTGTACGTCGCCGCTTCGAGGACAGCAACTCGGACGTGGAGGCGCCCTACAGCCGCGCCGTCCTCGCTCACAATCTCGACAAGCTCGTCGATGGCGTGACCCTTGAGCAGCGGCTCAAGCGAGAGTCGCCCGCTGCCGACCAGCTGGTCGGCAGCGTGGATGGAGAACGGATCGTCAAACTCGACCTCGTCCTCAACAAGCCCCTTGTCGTCACCCAGTCCAGCCTCGGCGTAGAGCTTGTACATCGCCTCGATCCGCTGCTTGAACTCGGCAAGTGTGACCACAATCGTTCGTCCGTTGACCATCGAGCAGCACCGGATAGAAATGACGTCGTCACCGCCAACGGCAGGTTCCAGATCCGGCGAGAACATGACCGGCCGTTGCATGGCTCGCGCTAGGTCGTTGCCCTCGTCTGCCAAAATCGCCGCCTCGGCGAGGAGCGACATCCGCGGATCGACAGGCTCGGCGCCGGGCGCTGCGTCGGCGCCGCCAGCTCGCAGCGAGCTGTACATCGCGACGTGCCCCCGTGTCCAGCACTGCTTCCGCCGCCGATGCCCAGCACCAGAGACATCTCGCGGACCGCGTCGTCCCAACCAAACTCGGGCAGCGGCTCGGCGTCGAGCGGCGAGATGTAGCGAAAGACAACCGACTTGCCGAGGATGATGCGGCAGCCATTTGTGAGCGGTGTAGCCGCGTCGCGGACAATATGCCCGTTGACATAAGTCAGCGCGTCGGTGAGCGGTGTGATCGACGCGCCCGAGTCGAGCGAGACGTCCAGGACGCAGTGGGCAGGAAGGACGCGAAGGCCGGCAATGACAATGTCGGCAACGTCGGCCGACGCGCCGACCGTCGACCGCCCCGGCCTCAGGTAGTAGACCAGCGAGGCGGCAAGCTCCGGATCTGGGTTGAGGTTCACCAGATACGGCGTCGACTGCTTGCCTACCGCCGAGCCGAGCTGGCGGAGCGAGATGCCCTGCGAGGCCAGCAGCTCCTCGCGCTCGAGGACAATGAGCGAGGTCCGCTCGCGGCGCTCGTCGTCGGTCACCTTGAGCTCCGCAATGATGGCGTTCTGCTCGTCGAGCTTGCGCTGCAGCTCCTCGACCACCGGCTCGCGGGTGGTCTCGCCGCCGGCCTCCAGCAGCGTCTTGAGCCGCTCGACTTCGGCCTTGAGCGCTTTGACCATGTCCTGGTTCGAGGTCTTGTTGCGCGAGACCGAGTTGACGATCTTCTTGGCACGCTCGGCAAACGAGAGCGTCGAGTACGTCTGCGCGTAGTTGGACGACGCCGGCGAGATGGCCACAAGCATGATGGCCTTGGCGTTGCCGCCGAGCGACTCTTGCAGCAGGCGGGTGAGGACCGAGTCACGGTACGGAATGTGCCGTTTGCTCCGCGACTTGGACGTGAGTGCAGAGATGACGTTGCCGAGGGCCGAGAGCGACTTGTTGATGGCGCAAGCCTCCTTGAGCCGCGTCCCCTTGGCCCCGGTGTTGTTCTGGTTCTCCGAGCCGGCGAGATCGACCAGGTTCATCTTGGCGCGCAGGGTGGCGGTCCCGCCCTCGCCGGCCGGTGCCTCGGTGGTGAGATAGACGGTAAAGACGGCGTGCGAGCGCGACGATGAGTTGTTCATCTTAGTCGCCGCCACCGTCCGCTCCTTGGAGCCGAGCTCCAGAAAGTGGACCACGTCGTCGCTCGACGCTGCCACCAGCTTTTCCAGTCCGGGGACAAAGACGCCAAAGCGGGCGTGCTCGCGGACGACCAGCGCGCCGCCGGGCCCTTTTCCGCGCCCGCCGCCCGCACCGCCGCCAGGGTTAAGCAAGTCCTTGATACTCTCCATGTAGATCTCCAAGTACGAGACCTCGACCGAGTACTTTGTCAGCGAGCCGTCAGCCAGGCCAGCCTCTGCCCGGGCAAAGATCTCTGCACAAGTCCTGGGAATGAGGCCCGGATCATCGGCCATCCCCATCATAGAGTACGTCTTGCCCGAACCTGTTTGTCCGTAGGCAAAGACAGACGAGTTGTAGCCAGCAAAGGCAGCATCAAGGAACTGGCTTCCGAGCTCGTCAAAGACCATCTCCTGTCCGGCGTAATCGTCCTCGGATGCGGCGTAGGACCAGTAGACCTTGTCAAAGACAAACGTTCGCTCGGCATCGGCCCCTCCATCAAAGCCCTGCTCCTCCTGCCGATGGCTCTTAAAGGCTGGATTGGTCAGCGTCAGCGTCCCGCCTTGGCTATCCCTCCCCACCACCAGTTCGTCGCCAGCCTCTCGCTCCTTACGGTTGAGCGGTCGGACACGGACCGCCACGCACACAGCCGTCGATGCCCGTGATGTCCTGCCACCGCCTCCTTTGCCTCTGCCTGGCATGGATGGGTGAGGGGGGGGAGTGGGGTGGGGTGGGGAGGGGGAGGGGGGGTGGAGCGAGGCCAGGGGGGGGGGGGGGGGGTTCGCGGGTGGTTCAGGTGGTTGCGACTTGTGGGGGATTTGGGGGAGAAGGTGTCGATTTAGACGAGACGGTCGTCGAGCTGATCAGCAGGGTTGGTCGTCAGCCGGGCTAGTCGTCGGCCGGGTTAGTCGTCGGCCGGGTTAGTCGTCGGCCGGATTAGTCGTCGGCCGGGTTAGTCGTCGGCCGGGTTAGTCGTCGGCCGGGTTAGTCGTCGGCCGGATTAGTCGTCGGCGGGGCTAGTCGTCGGCCGGGTTAGTCGTCGGCCGGGTTAGTCGTCGGCCGGGCTAGTCGTCGGCCGGGTTAGTCGTCGGCCGGATTAGTCGTCGGCCGGGCTAGTCGTCGGCCGGATTAGTCGTCGGCCGGGCTAGTCGTCGGCCGGGTTAGTCGTCGGCCGGGTTAGTCGTCGGCCGGATTAGTCGTCGGCCGGATTAGTCGTCGGCCGGGTTAGTCGTCGGCCGGGTTAGTCGTCGGCCGGGCTAGTCGTCGGCCGGGTTAGTCGTCGGCCGGGCTAGTCGTCGGCCGGATTAGTCGTCGGCCGGATTAGTCGTCGGCCGGGCTAGTCGTCGGCCGGGCTAGTCGTCGGCCGGATAAGTGGTCCAACTGGTCTGGTCAGTGGTCAACGATCACTCGTCGTCTACAACGTACACGTCGCCCTCGTACGAGACCAGCCGCCCGATGATAGGCGCATCGATGTCAACCTTGACGTACCAGCCGCGCCCATCTGGGTGCGCGAGCGAGTAGCCGTCGCCGCGGAGCATGAGCGGGAACGGGATGCGAACAAGGCCCCAGAGGAGGAACATGCCCTTGGTGGTGTGCCGGAAGCCATCAGCGCCACGATCGCCAAGCGGCGAAACGTGGAACGCCATCTTCATCAGCCCGCCGTAGAACGACTCAAAGACCACTCCAGACGCGCCGTTGAACGCGCTCCGTGGCATGAGCGACCACACGGACTTGAGCTGCGACATGATCTTGCCGGGCTTTGACGGTGGGCCTGAAAAGAACTTGCGGTGCCAGAGCCCGTTCTCAGAGGTCACTTCGACCGCCACAGCCTCGCCGCCCGAGTCCTTCGGCAGCATCCCAAGCGTCGTCACCAGGTTGTTGAGCATCGCTTTGTTGCGGGTCACCGTCAGCGCGCCGCGAACCTTGCCGCCAGTGTCGTGGAATGCGCGCAGCGCCGGTGGCATGGCACTGATTTCATCCGCGCCCATAGCCCGCGTGAACGCGTGCGCCGCGCCGGCATCGTTCGCGCTCGCTCCACCCTCTGCAGCCTCGTCGTCGAGCGCCAGTCGCCACGAGAACGGCGCGCCTGCGCCGTCGAGCAGCGCCCGGAACTGATCGAGTGAGAAGAGCTTGCCGGCGAGGCCAGTTCCGAGCATGTGTGGCGGTAGCGGGCGGGCAGCTCGCGCCGCGTCGCGAACTTGCAGCGCCGCCAGCTCGGCAGCCACGACAGGTGTGTCCGGCCCGTACCCGGCCTGTCCGATGAGACTCGCCTCAAACGGCCGCTCGCTGCGCTCGCCAGTGGTGTCGACAAGCGTGCCGCGCATGTGCATGCCGCCGTCTGGTGAGCCAAACGGCGAGAGCAACTTGGCTGCCGCCGCCAGCGCCGGCGCAAGGCGATCGTATGACTCGATGCTCAGCGCGCTCCGCACCCATGCCAGCACACGCATCCCGGCCATCACCACAGGCAATTCGAGCGAGGCCGCAAACCGGTGGTTGCGGAGGTTTGGGTACCACATTGGAAAGGCATCAATGTCCGGGACAGAGACCGGCGCAACCAGCCGCGGTGTCGCCAAGCCGTGGAAGCCCCGCCACGAGAGCGAGCCCCAGCCGATCTCGGTCGCGTCGTCGGCGGTGCCGTCGCGGAATGCAGAGAACTTCTTCCCGCAGTACTCGAGAACCGAGCGGATGGTCCCGAGGCCGCGTGGTCCCTGGTGCCCGACGCCAATAAAGTAGTCGACATCAGCGAGCGCCCACCCGGGCCCGGCCGCGTCCTCGACCGCGTCCGCCAGTGCCGTGGACAGCGCTGAGACCGTCGAGCCGGCTGTTCGGATCATCGCCTTCTCTGACACCGGCACGTTGTCGTCAAAGCCAGCCACAAACACTCGTGAGTCTGCAAGATCCAAGTAGTGGACGTCGGCCGCGGCGCAGGCGCGCGCCAGCGCATAGCCCTCGTCTGTCGCCCGATACGGGCCAGAGGTGTTGACCACCAGCAAGCGACTGGCCTCCTGCCCACAGCGCAGCTCCTTCAGCGCTTTGGCAAGGACATCAGCCTCTGCCGTCGCATCGAGGGCTGCCGCTTCAAGCTTGCTACACGACATGTACCACTGCGGGCTGAGGACGTCCGGACGGACCGCTTCCGCCGACTTGGGCACCGCCCGCCACGATGCATCAGGTCCAGCAAATGGCCAGGGAATGTCCCGAATGTTCTTGTCACCCACCGCCTGCAGATCGTCCACCAGTCGCTGCGCATCGTCCTTCGATCGTCCGGCAACCACCACTCGCAGCCCCTCGTGGCACGTCAGCCTCGCCACCAGCCGCGAGCCAAAGACCCCATATCCACCCACCACCACCACTGTCGCGTCCTCGCTGCTGGTACCCGGTACAGACCGGTCGTTTGCAGTGCTCGACAACCTGCCCAGCATACTCGCCATGGTACCTGCCCCTATCTCGCTCTTGCCCATCGATGCGACTCGCCAGGCTCTTCCGCCCACCCTCATTCTATTTGCCAATCGCAGCATTTGTTCGTTCGCCAGCCGAGAGGAATGGTGCCAGCCAAGGATGACGCGCAGGGGCGGGCATACCTTCTGGAGATGGGGAGATCAGCTAGTGTCATGGTCGCCGTACTGGCGGGGGGGGAGGGGGGGGGGCGTTTAAGCCACGTGACGTTGTCGTCACTGGTAAGTGTAGGTGACGGCGTTCGAGAGGAGGCCATCGATCTCGACGGCAAAGCTGACCTTGCCGGCGGCGGCGGCCTTGGGAGAAATGCACGAGACGATCTGCGGGGCGACCAAGGTGGCCGGGCTCGACAGGGTGCCAAAGACGCACGAGGACGGCGAGGATGTGGCCGGCTCGCTGAGAACCGCAAATACCACAGTCCCGCCCGCGATCGGGCCCGACGACGGCGAGATGAGGTCAATGTGGACGCTGCTGGATCCCGGGATAAAGGCGGCGCCGCCACCAATGCAATACGGCGAGACCGAGGAGGGAAAGTCGGCGACCTTGGTCAACGCGGCGTAGCGCGGAGCGTCGGCACGGACCACGCCGCCGGTGGTGATGGCGTAGATCGACGAGCCTTCAGGCGTGGCAGTGATACCGCCGGCGCGACCGGGGAGCGAGACAAACGACTCAACTTCGCCAGTGATCCTACTCACCGTCTTCATAAAGGGTGTGTTCTGGTCCGAGAGCGCCAGCAGATTGCTGCCGACAGCAGCGAGACGGCGCGGAAACTTGCCGGTAGTACAGTTGAACGGCTTGGGCGCCGTCGCCGAGTCATGGGCAATGCCAAACACCTCGATGCCGCCAACACAACCAGGAAAGGTGCCGTCGTCAGCGCCAAAGTACCCGGTCGCCCCGTTGTCGACCACGACCACGCCGCCATTCATCCCGCCGCCGCCGTTGCCTGCAAACGTGCCAAGCTCGACCGACGAGCCATCAGCCTCGACCCGGAAGAAGCTACGTCCACCACCCTGGTAGTAGACAGTGCCATCACCAGAGACGGTCATGCTGTAGACCCGCGATCCGCCGGCATCCGCCCAGGTCGTGTTGACCTTGGATCCGTCGAGCGAGGCCTTGGCGATGTAAGCGTGCATCTCGTTGATATTGTAGTAAGCCCAGTAGAGCGTGCGCGAGGAGGCATGGACGCCAAACATGTCCAGCCCGTTTGTATTGGCCGTCACTCCCACCACCGATGTCTCGCCAGTCTTCACATTCGTGCTGAACAGCGTGCCCGGGTCGCACACCTGGGCCCAAATAACCTGGTCGTCGACCTGGTCCGCGCTCGCCCCATGGACGACCAGCAGTGTCATACAGAGCGAAAAAGTCAGGGCAAGCAGGGAGAGGGGGGCGAGAAGGGCGCTCCGCATAGTTGTGTTCAGAATGGGCGAGAGGCGTGGCTATCGCCCTCACCCTTGCCCTTACCCGTGCCCGGGGCCTGTCAGAAGGAGAATAGCGGCACAGGAAAATGTGCGACCTTTTTTCACTTTCTCAGAGGGACATCCCTGTCCTGCCCCCTCCCCCTCCATCCACCCACCCACACCCACCCCTGCCCGCATATGCGCCACAACGGATCCATGTCGACACCACGCCAAGTTCAGTGATGGCGGCCGATCAGAGACAGAAAAGATGATGATGGATGACCACAACTCGGGCACCGGCCTGTTCCATCCCAACCTGCAACCCGCGACAACCATGATCGAATCCAACATCTCCAAGATCATCACCATCAACCATCATCATCATCATCATCATCATCATCATCATCATCATCATCATCATCATCATCATCATCATCATCATCATCACCATCACCCACCATGGCGCCAATCCGTCCCAATCCGTCCCAGCTACACAGCCACCCGCCCGCTCGCCACCCGCCCGCCACAGCCACCCGCCACCCACCCACCCCCCATGCAACAACAGCCACCTCACCTCACCAGGGAGATGGCACTGTTCCTCCCTACCGAGGTAGAGCTGCTACGTGTGGTGTTTGAGGCATATGCACTAACACCGCCTGCCCGTGCGCCTTGTCTCGGCCTCTATGAGCTCTACGCACTCTTGCCACACTTTGGCCCCGAACGGCCTCTGGCCGATGTGGCCGACCTCATCTACCGCTTCGACTCGACGCTGCTGGGCTTTGTTGACTTTGATGACTTTCTCGAGCTCATTCAATGGGTCATTCGCGACGCTGCCAATCAGCAAGAGAAGCTGCTTGCCGCTCTCCGTGTCTGTGCCCGGAACTCGTCGACGCGATCATCGAGCTCGTCTGTCATCGATGCTTACACGCTCCGCCAGCTGCTCATGGCGCCCGGCTCAGAGTCGCCGCTGACGTACTCGGAGTTTGCCGCCATCCTCCGCCGCCTCTTTCCGCTCGAGGCGGCAGGCACCTCGGCGTCGAAGCGGAGCCCTGAGGCGCTGGTTGGTCTCCTCTCGGACGCACTGCACCCAGTTGTCGCCTCGTTCATCGATCGGCTTGAGGCGCGCAAGGTCTCGTTCCCGCGCTCGCTTGCTCGGGCCTCGAAGCGTCCGTTTGCATACTTGCCCGGCGTGTCTTCGCTGCTGAAGCACGCCTCGGCGAGCGTCCACGCCGACGAGGTGGTGCTCAAGGTCCGCATCTTTGAAGCGCTCGACGTCGAGGGTCTGGCGCGGGTCCGCCCGCTCCCGCACGGCGCCGGCATCGAGTATGAGGCGCTCTCTCTGTATGTTGTTGCCCGGATTTCGCCGTCCGAGTCGATGCCGGCAGTCTCGGCGCGGACGCCGGTGCTGGTTCGCGAGCTCTACCCCGAGTGGCACCAAGACCTCGAGCTGCGGATCCCACTCCCATCGCCACGGCTGAGCGACATTCAGGTCTGGGCATCAAACGTTCACCTGCACTTTGAAGTCTACGACGCCGTGGCGCACATGCCGGCACCGCATGCCGAGTGGATCGGCGCGGCTTCGCTCCCGCTCTCGGTCGCCCTCCACAACGCCGCCAAGCACGCACACTTTGCGCTGGCACTCTCTGCGCCTGGTGGCCTTGTCTCGCCCAACGCCGCATGCTACAAGTTCCCCGAGCGGACCGAGCCGTCGCGGCTGGCGCGCGCCAAGACGCCGGTCGGCGCGCACGCCAAGTCGCCGGGCCTCACCGCGCTCGACTCGTTCTACCCGGCACGCGACCGGTCGATGCCGCGATCGCCGGGAGGGTCAGACGGCTCGGAGGCCCGCGGCATTTCGCTTCCAACCGGAGCCATCTCCCGCAACAAGGCCGGTGACCTTGAGGCTGCTGTCGTGCTCGAGTCGGCCATTGCTGCCGCTCGTGAGCGGAAGCAGCTGGAGAGTGGCGGCAAGGCTAGGATTCTGCGGCCGCGGCTGGTGGTCTCGCTTGCGTTTGCCACTGACTTTGACGCTGCTCACGACGCGAACGCCGCCGATCCGGGCGAGGTGCGGCTCTCGGCGCTCTCGCCCAAGATCATGGAGCACTACTTTGTGCCACCAGACGTGCTCTGGCTTGCGTTGTATCCGGGGCGGATGGAGGAGGATCTGAGTGCCGGACTGGAGGTCGAGTCTGAGCCGGTGCCCGATGGCTCGCGTCAATCGTCGACGCGCCAGGCCAACCTCGACTCGCTGCTGGCAGCAAACCTCGACGACGTGGCCGAGATGCTGGCCGATGGCGGTAAGGGCAGGGATCTTGCCAGCGGCGCGCTGTGGGAGCTCTATCTCCAGTCGCTGGAGGATGCGTGTTCGGCCATGCCGCGGCGTGCCTTTCAGCTCGTTGCAATCGACGAGTATAACCGCTTCCGCTGGCTCCCGTCATTTGTCTGCCCCATGCCCTCGACAGCTGCCGGCCACTCGGAGGTCGAGCTTCTTGCCATGGTCTCTGCGCTCTCGGACGACGGCTTCCCGACAGACATTGCGTGCGGGAAGCCGAACCAACCGCGGATGCAGACGCTCTCGCCTGCGGTCGTCATCTCGCGCAAGGCGGCGTCCGAGCTGGAGAAGGCTCTTCTCCTTGCGTCGCTGCTCATCGGCGCGGGCGCCGACGCATACGTGGTGGTTGGCCGGCGGACAACCGGTGCGTTTGCGTACTGGGTCGTCACTCTCAGCCCGCTTCCGTACAAGCGGCGGCGGAAGCGGCGGAAGCGGACGGCAGACGAAAAGGCGGGGAAGGGGCACGGCCCAGATGCGGCAGCGAGCCAGCCACGGTCGCGCTCGCGCTCGCGCTCGCAGACGCGGTCGCGGACGCACGCCAAACCGGCATCGCGGCGGCCGTCGGTCGTCGACGCGATGGGTAACGTGCTTGTCATCGGCGATGCCAACGGCCCGGCAGTGGCCGCCAAGCGGCGGGCGTCGCTCGTCGACGCCTCGCTCAAGGCGGATACCCAGGCGGCAATCCGGTCACTGGCTGGAGATGCTCGGCCGGTTCCACGGTGGGGCCGACGTGGTTCGACGCCAGACCTGCCGAGCGGGGGCGACTCGGCCAGTTTGTTTGTAGACTCGGCGGCGTTCCTGAAGCTGCCGGCCGGCTTGCCGCCGACGAGCCAAGCGGCACAGAAGCGACGCGGCTCGGTCGATGTCGGGCTGGCGGCACTTGCACTGCGGCGCGGCTCACTCGACAAGCGTCCGATGCGGGACGGAAACGACTCGTTTGACTCTGCATGCTCCGACTCGTCCGTCGACTCGGTTGAAGCTGCAGTCAAGCGGGTGCAGCAGGCTGCAATTGATGCTGGCTCGACAGGCGGTCGGCGACGGCGCAACTCGCTCGCGGGCGTCGTGGCTGACGCGATAGCTCTTCATGCGGGTGGCGGTGAGGTCGGAGGTGGCGGCAATCGCGACGAGTACACGTACTCGTTCTACTCGACGACCGATGGCGGTGCCGACGGCGGCAACGGCGACGATGACGGCAACGAGTGGGGCATGCTCTCGCCACGCGGGATAGAGCGCGGCTCGCACTCGCGGTCGCGGACCTCGATCGTACACCAGTCGCACTCGCAGTCGTTCCTCGGCCTCGAGTCGGTGCTCTCGTCAGAGTTTGGTGGCGGGGCGCGGACTCCTGGCCTCGATCGGTACTCTTCGGTGGCGCGGATGCACAACCCGCTGCTTGCCTTTGAGCCGCGCAAGTTTTCCAAGCGCGCTCGGCCCAACGTGCGGCCGATGGGTGTGGTTCACTTTGATGCTGCGAGCGGTGCCATGTTCACCTCGTGCGACGACGCCGGCTTTCCGTTTGCCTCTGTCGGCACGCTCTTCAACGGCGACAACGGGTGGCTCAATGTGGCGCAGCAGGACCGGGTCGATCGGCTGGTGTGGGATCTGTCGTCACGGAGCGACTGGAAGCCATTCTTCTCAGACAAGGTCCTTGCGACCGCCGGGCCTGTGCAGCCGTGGTACACGCCGCCACGACTGGAGGTACGGCCGGCGCTCGACCGGGCGGCCACCCGCGCCATCGCGCTCACCATGGAGGCACAGCTGACTGAGCTGATCAAGGCCTACCGAGCATCGCGGGCTCCGGGCTGGCTCGTCCGAGTCCACGAGCCACTCTCGAACCGGCTGCGGCTGACAATCAAGCACGTGGACATGGTGGAGCGCGGCGCCGGAGCGCTCGGAGTCCAGCACGCCATGGACACAGCGTGGCCGTCGGTCCTCTCGTGCGTCCCGAACGGCGCCTTTCTCCACGCGCGGCTCTTCAAGTTCCGCAACACTTCGATGGAGGCTGTCTGCCGTCAGCTTGCCTACACCGGGCTCCTCGACGTCACCGCTGTCGGCGTTATCTACGTCATTGCCGCCAACCTTGTCTCGCGCCCACTCGGCCTCGAGGATGTCTGGCTCTGGTTCGGCTACCTCGAGTGGGCCGACGCGTACGTCGGCGATCCCGACGAGGCCTGACTGTGCTGTCCTTGATTTTACTGCAGGCGGCCGGCGGTTAATGTGCTGCGGCGTCCGAGACCATGACTGGCACACGCTTACTGATCCTCCGGCGTCTTGTTCGGCCAGAAGGGGACCTTGTTGAACACCACCTTGGGCTCCTAAACACACACACACACACACACACACAAATGATCATGAGTATCGACGGGAGACCAGCGGATGCTTTCGGAAGCAAAAGGCAGCGGATGCAGCAGTACGCGGGAGAGAGAGGGGGGAGGCGTTGGCGGGCATCAACCACGACGTGTCGGTCCAGCCGGACGTTTGGAGCACGGGATGGAGAGAATACCACCACAACAACCACACCATCCACTCGACAACACCTTCCACCAGCTTGACAGGAACCAGAACTTTCCGATCCAGCTCATTATCACCTCACCACCTCACCACCTCACCATCTCACCACCTCACCACCTCACAACAGTGTTCGTGTCGAGGGTGGACTGACGACACTGGCCCAGCTGCGACCATAACCAAGACGATGTCTCCCAGACAGCAGAGGCATTCAGAGCACTGGGTCTTGATAGAGAGGGGGGGGGGGGGGGGTAACGG